CAGTTCGAAGGGGGGGACTACAAAAAAGTCTCAGCACCATCTGGTGAACAAAGAGGCTCATTACATGTCTTTGAGCGCCTTTGTGTTTGCACGCAATGCATCCATGAACATGACGCTTTAATTTCCAGTGAGCCAACATCTGAGGGGTTTTAGTTTAATGCACAAGAAAGACTTTTAAAGCATCGGGAAATCCTGCTTGTGCAAACAGACACGCAGTTGCAGTGCATGAAAGGGCAAAAATTGTGGTGTGTACATGAGCCTCTTGAGACTAATTGGGGGGGATGGTAAGTCTAGGGTGGCCCCTAGTCTGCCATACTCTTGCCTAGGCATACGTGCTGAAGATCTTGGTGTGATCTGTGCTGGCCAAAATGATAAAGCAACTTGCAGGCTGGAACATTCAGGCTGACCCCTGGGTTTGATTCAGACTCTGATTTATAGAAAACAATACTACTAAACTATGAATTGGTTAGACTTGGAATTGACTTTGCTGCATTATCAGAAATTCAGCTCTCAGATACAGAGTCTATCCAAGAGAATGATTACACCATATTTTGACATGTGAAGCCAACAGGAGAAAGGAGGGAGCTGGGGAGTAGGTTTTGCTATTAGAAACTACCTACTATCTCTCTGTGAAAACCCCATTGCTGTATCTTTTTGACTTACGATGCTCAGAATACATGCACAGAATGCCTTCATCACATTTAGTGCCTGTGGGCACCTATATACAATGCTGCTCTGATGCACTGTAATTAAGCAGTCTTGATTCATTGAGTTTGCTGGAGTGTGGTAATTACAATGCTCCAGCCGACTCCAGCATCTCATGTATCAGTGTCCCCGCACTTAAAAATGGCGGTGGGGCACTTTAACTAAAGGTTGTTCAACAAGATGTAGCTAAAGCACCCCTTTCACCATTTTTAAGCACGGGGACACTGATACACAAGACACTCCTGGTGCTTTAATTAAAGTGATTCTCAGAGCCACTCTAATTAAAGAGACCCTCCCCCAGTCCTGGAGCATGTGTATAAACACCCTATGCACCTACCCTTCAAGGTAATAACAAAGACGAGAATGTTTTCTAACAACAATTTGAATATTTGGAGAAAACTCACAGAAACAATACCATTATAATACTTGGCAAATTCAATGCAAGAATTAGGTGTAGTTTTAAGAACTGGCCTGGTATTCTGGGCAAACACAGAATTGGTAACATGATTGAAAATGGCCAGTGAGTGTTAGAACTTTGTGCAAGGCAAAATCTGTGTTACCAACACCTATTTCACTGGGAAAATCACAAAATAGACATAGAACTATCCAAGATCAGGGTATTGGCATCAGTTAGATCTAAAACTGACCAGGCGTAACCATCTGAAACATCCTGCATACAAGGTCTTATCACAGTGTCAACTGTGACACTGACCATGACATAGAGCACTTGTACACGACACCATTGCCAAGTACACATAATGAAAATGGCACTTTGTCTGTCTTAATGACGTCACGCTGTGCGTGTGCTGGAGTTTTGGGGGTTTTAAATTAGTTTACATTGTTGCAAACTAAACTACATCCTGATGTAGCTGTCAGCTTTCCCCCTGGCTGCGTGAGAGGTGTGCAGGCTCTGCAGAAAAAATTATCAGGTGCCTGCTGAAGGCAGAAGCAGTGAGAGGCTTGATCTTTTTTGGTTGAGCCTGCCCGCCTCTTCTGCAGCCCGGGGGCAAGCTGCTAGGGGGCCGAGAGGCCCCTGAGCTGCCCTGGTCCTTCCCTCTGAGGTGGCGGCACCCCCTGGGGCCACCTGAGTGGGCTGCTAGCAGGCTGGATGCTGCCCCAGTTCAAGGTTGGGAAAGAATTGGATCGTGCCAGGTGCTGCCTCTGAGCTGAGGTTCTTAAGGAGAACCAAGGGACATACTGCAACAGACCCCTTGTAATTTTTGATTAGGAATATAAGGAACAGAACTGTAAGGGACATTCTGGTCCCCTCCTAACACAGGCAAGCATATAATATAATCCTTATTCTAAATATTTCAAGATCTGTTTTTTAAAACTCAGTTTCTTGCCCTTGTTGGAATTAAATAGGATGACTGCCAAAATGCTAGCAATATTGATATATGTATTTTGTTTCCTTCTGATTTCAAGACATCAGTTTGAGAGTAGTGGGATCCATATAGCTATCTCCCAGTGGGTGCATCTACACATGCACCCCTCTGCACAGTTGGTACTGTGCAATCCCAGTGGCACATGGTTTGTTTCTGACCCTGCTGTGCAGTAACAGCAGCATCATGGTTAGTGCCTGCTGATGCTGTGTCGCTGTAGCAATGAGTACATTGCCATAGCTCATTGCTATGGCAACATAGCATCTTGTGTAGACATGCCCAGTGTTTCCTACAATATTTTGTCTCTTGCCTTCCATATACAGCATGCATGCGTCCTATACAGGATATAGTACATTCTGTAATTTCAGAGGGTTAATCTTGCACTGCTTTCTAGCTCTCTTGGACTCCTCTGTTTATATCTTTTGTATATGTTTTGATGTCCTGATAATTCTGTGACTATAAGTGTGCTTTTCCTCAATGTTTAGCAATTTGTCATGCTGCAGTGGGGAAAATTTCTAGTAAAATTGTTTCCAAATCTTTCAGAAAGCTTCTCATTTGAGATGTCTTCATGTTAATTAATGTGCCTTTGCTACTGCACATTAAGCTTAGTCCTTCTAATATGAGGTACTAGATAAAGGCAGAGTATCTGTGCTTTTATTTCTTTCTTTCATATAACAAAAATGGTGTATGTATCTTTATCTTTGTGCACTTTGGCGTTTTTGTCAATTCGGGGAGCGCTTGGCCATCAGAGACGTTAACAGGGATCACTACGTGGAAGTGACTCTCATCAATCCCTGTAGCTGTGCTAATGCACAATAGCAAATTCACACTTTTTTGTGATGCTTATGCACAGTAGACTAATTCTACTGCACGTTAGCATGGTGTTTGCTGTGCCATGCTAATGCTCAGTAGAACAGTCCAGTGTGAATTAAGGCATCGCCCACTGAGGGACAAAACTGTAAAATCCCACCAGGTGTAACCCTCCCTGATAAAGGCATGAACTCCCATATGCTGATTCTTCCAACTAGTTTTCTACATTAATGTCTTCAAAAAAGATGTGACATGATTCAGGTCACCTCTTTTGTACTGAACCCACCTGTACCTGGGTACTATGGCAATGGGTGCAGTAGCTGGTACAAGTAATCCTCCCTCTGGCTCCTCTCCATTAAAAGGAACTTGTCACAGGACCTGTTTTAGCAGTTGTATCCACCTGCAGCCCACACCACAAGCTGTTAGACTTGACCAAGTGCTGCAGTCATGTTATCTCTAAAGCATAACAATGGAAGATTGAAAGCAGAAGGGGGTTTCAGTGCACATCTTTGATCTGTATAAACTGAAATGTTTTCCAGCTGTATATAAACTTAGAGACACCATTAACTGACTTCTCTGGATCACTTTTTTGCAGCAGTTCAGAATCTGAAATGGAGGAAGAAGAGGAGGAAGAAGAGGAGGAACCTGTTCAGCCACAGCTACCCACTTCAGACCTAGGAGGTGTACCTTGGAAAGAGGCTGTCCGAATCCATGCCCTACTAAAGGGAAAGAGTGAGGAAGAGCTTGAAGCTGAGGAAAACTATGCAGCTGAAGACAGGGAGGAAGATGAGGAGGAGGAGGAGGAGGAGGAGGAAGAAGAGTCTAGTGAAGGTTAGAAAAAAATTGATTTGTCCTCCCTTTCTCATACAGGGTCAATAAATACTTGTGTTCACAGAATGACAAGCATTACCACTGGACAGGAAGCCCCTTGCTGGGCTAGGTTCCATCCATCCTTGTTCTCCTCTAGAACACTTACAGGCTGATGAGAGAGAAGTAATACATCTAGGTGGGACTGAGTGGTGTTCCTGTCTGACTATGTTAGGAGAAAAAGCCATTCAATGAGTTTCTCAATTGGAGGTGTCAGACCAAATGCCATCTCATCTTTCATATCCATTTTTTCTGACTTTTCTGTTAATGTTACTTCACGTGGTTGTAGGGTTGTTTAATTTTAAAGTTAGTGTTGGAAAAAAGTGTCAGGCCTTTCTTTGTGGCAGCTGTAGCACTATTAGCAGCACAATATTATTGTGTTATCATGGCTCTACCAATCTTATAGCTTCCCTCTACAGCATGAATATAGTCTAATACAAGAAAAGTGTATAATGCTTGTCTGCTTTCTCTGGATTTAGTACTCTGACTGGATCAGTGTAAATCTATGCTTGATTCAATGTGTTATGAAGAAGGATAATTTGTGTCTTAATGCAGCGTTCAGAAGATGGAGCTCCACCTTTACTGAGAGGTGGAGCCTTTCTCATGTATTTGGTGCCCAAAGACTTATCTAAAATCTCTCTCAAACATGCAGTGGTCCAAAAAAAGATGTTCTTGCTTTTTATATTTATTAGACCATTACAGCTGCAGCATCACTCCAACACTGCCAATTCTGTTTATAATCAATTGGTGCAGGTAGCAAGCATCCCTTTTAAAAAGACTGTTTGGCTGCATATTTCCATATGGAAAATTGAACTCTATAGCTGAAATCTTTCAAGAAAAAGGCACCAATTTAGTTCAGTAAAGTGCTCATTATTTGTTGGTCTGTTGAACTGTGATGTTCCCAGACCACTTCTTCTCTGTCAAGTGCAATTTGTTAGTCAAGGTGCTTTGAGTACGGTGGAAGTAAGTCTTACTGGATTTTCATTCTTTACTACTTTTCTTTCTGATTCTGTACTCTCTCTATGTCTCTCTATATTACTCATGTGTGCACATATGTCTCTGATTCTAAATGTGGATGTGTGGCTCCCCCTGCTGTAGAGGGAGAGTATTGCCCTTGGGAGAGAGAGCTCCAGCAGGGCCTCTGGCTTCAACATCTCTCAGACGAAGAGGACACGGGTACATTTAAAGGTACCCTTATACCATTGCCACTTCTGCTTCCTGTTAAGGGGGTAATATTTTAAAGAGCAGGTCCCACATGAAAAAGTTTCTTTATTAAATTGTGCCTACCAATTTCCTTAAGGTTGATGCAGGAAATATTGTTAATTACTTCACATCATCTAAGAGTGGGCGTTATTGAACTGTATCGCGTATTTACTGTTCCTAGCATGGGCAGATGGAGAGATCTGCTTGAGCTTCAGAGAGCACTGATATACTTAAAATAATTGTAAGGTAGATTTGAAAACACTTGGTAACTTCCAGCTTGGCCAATTGCACTGTTTATCATAAACCACTGCAGTGCAGTTTTGCTTTTAGGGTTACTTTATTGAAGCAAAATAAGCATAATCATTCATGTTTTCTTGATTGTGTGTTTATATGAATTAGGATATGTGAGATGAAAGGCCAAGTACCTTCACTCAATTTATTGGCTGCACTGTAACAAGGACTCTTGTGCCATATGGCTATATTATAATATAGCTCCTGTATTTCTTATACCATAGTAGCATAGGACTGGAAGGGGTCTCCTGAGCCATTGTATCCAGCTTCCTGTATTCACAGATAATCATTTATCCAAGGAAACCCCCCAAAATCATCACTTTAAATCCTCACATACAGCTACAAGACACAAAATTTTTCTTTTTTAATGCTGGATATTATGAAAGATGTTATAGGGATACAAGAGAAAATAGTATAGGAATTTATCAACAATTCTCTGCTCTTTTGAGTATATTCCAATTTAATTCGTACACTTTCTTGGCCCTTGAGTCAGGCTGAACTTTCAGGGTCACTTTCACTATTGCAGAAATTCAATCTAGGATGCTAAATTTTCTCCTATGTACCATTCTTGACAGTGTGGTTTAAAGTAGCCAGATGGCTAAAGAGCACAGGCATAGAGAGGGTGAAAGTTTTGAAGTCTGCCTTTCTCCCTTAACTTTTCTTTGTCTTAGTTGCTTAACAGCTTTAGACACAGCTCCAAAGGAGCTAGTTTGGGAGTTCTGGGGTAGTTCGCCATTACTATATTAATTGAAAAGTTAAATACTGAGACAGTTCAGCCACTTCTATGGTATGGCTGAACACCACAGTGAAGCTAGGGAGGAAACACATAGTTCTTCTGAAATTCACTGACTTACTCTTTCATGAAAACAAGGTCCAGCTTTCTGTAAAGTTTAGGAGCCAATTTTGGGGGAAGCCCACAGCAGCTGCTATTTGAAATTGATCAGCTTGCAGTCCTCAAGTGATCAAACATCAGAGGAATGCTGAGTTTGCCTGCTAGCCAAGCCACAGCACTTCACAGATGGCTGGGCCTTTTCATGTTTTTATGTAATTGAAAAGTAAGCTGACTGAAAATCTGCTCCTTAAAAAAAGGCTAGATCTGCACACATGGAGGCATAGGCTTAGCTAATGCCATGTGACTTGTTGGGCCCTTCATTGGTGGTGGCATGCTGTTTTAAATCACAATAGTCAGCATATGGAGCCATATTACAATGTGCAGATCAGGTGGGACCTGCTCTTTCTGAGCCTTGCTGAGTGACCATATATTTCTCCCCATTCCCAGCTGCTTCTGGTAAACCACATCCTTTTAACACAAAAGTGTGTGGTATAAATACTAACTATACTGATCTCAGGGCCTGCATGTGCGTGCCTTGGAGTGCAGTGAGGGAAGATAAGACAGTGTCCCTTGTTTGCCAGTGAGCCCAGCCCTATCAGCCACTCCTGAACATACTTTTGATCCCTCCAGGATATCTAGTAGCTCTGATTGTTGTCATGTTTTTATGTGATTTTGCTGCTTGGAGGAGGGATCCTTTTGTTGGATGAAGTTGTTTAACTCAAATTTTGAATCACATTTCCTCTTTGCACATTTGTCTGCCTGGTTTCCTTGGCCCATTTGGATTAACTACCAGATAATTTTGTGTTTACACACGTTCTTTCTGCATTTCTCAATGTCATTTTCTCCTTCATTTGTAAGGTCAAATGTGGCATCCCAGTCATTCCTCAGACTGAAGTCCTAAGTGCTGTGCTATGATGCTGTAGCAGAACCAACCAGGCTGGGATGAGGACAACTCATTCAGAGAAAACAGCAAAGGAATAATGGGCACAAACCCAAAATGCTGCCACCCCAAATTGTTTCATTTCCAAATGCTTTTCCAGTGTGTCAGAGTCATCCTTCCCCCAGTTACGTTTTTTACCATACACTAGTTCTAAGTTTCTGAAAAAGTGTCTGGCATTTTGTCCTGAATTGTAGGTTATCTGCGATCAATGAAGGCTGGCTCATTGCTTTGCATGGCAGTTGAGCATCTTGCCCCACAGTGTGAGCAGCCCACTTTTGAGGAAGACTGGAACATTTTCCTGAAGTACCTCCATTAAGTCCCTTTCCCTGGCCCCCATACATACGTGATTTGCTTTTGTGAAATAAAATCATAATATGCTGATATACCAGTAGCAGTAGAGAGAGGATCTGTATGTATTATGATTTCTGCCTCTGGGATAAAGGGATTATGGTGTGAGTGCTCTGCAGCACTTGTAGTCACTTGGCAGTTGTGTTTGTATAGTGCCCCTAGCAGGGAAAATTATGCGACTCTCTATGGCTGGAGAGTGTTGTTAATGGAGAACAGTTAGCCAGAATGTGAAGGAGATTTAAAACACTATAACATGTGGCCAGATCAGCCATTAATAATTCTATCTAATCCCCTTCCAAGATCCATTTCTTTAGGTCTTAATGAGAAGGCTCACATAACTTAGGCCTGTGCATGAAAGGTTGGAATTCCTTTTTATGGAGTTGGACCTTAAGTGCAGACTGTCCCCCTGCCTTTGACACAGAATATATGTGGCACTATTCAGGCTGAACAGGCTTAGCAAGGTGGAAATCTATTCTGCAGTTGCCTACCAAATCTCTCCTGGCTATCCAGAGAATATCTTCCATTGCAGTGGAGCTGCTTGCAATAGAGGTAATCTGCTGTGAAGTCTCTAAATAGCATCAGCGTGCCCTTGGAATGGCATTATTCTGCTTTGGTCTGGAGTGGAACACCAGGACGATGAACTTGCTGTGTGTTTGTATATGTGTGCACACGTGATGCCAAGCTCTGTCTATCTTTCAAACTGATTTAGCAAGTAATATTTTCTTTTTTCTTTCCTTATTTCCTTTCCTGTGGTGTGTCCTTTCTCTTCTACTCTCCTGCCCTTTTTCTCCATGTCCTTCCTTCCTCCCCTGTCTACATATGATCTGCCATGTCCTTGGTCTGCTAGCTGGGAACCTGAGGCTGCAGCAAATTGTAAATCCGGTTGATCCTCTTGAAATCCTGGCAGATGTGCACTGGACACACATCCGTGAGAGAGAGGAGGAGGAAAAAATGGTTCCAACCTCAAAGTCCTCCACCTCCAGAGGTAATCTCCCCTGCATCAAATCCCAGATAAACTGCAGCTGTTTAACTCTGTTGCTTTTATCCCCTTGAAGAGCAGCCTTTTTCAAAAGGGTGAAAAATGATTGACAGGCTGTATTTCTTGAAACCAAGCACTGGTTAAACATTTTGCTTTTCAGTTCACTCTATTTTAAATGACTGCTTCCACATACTGGTTGTGCTATAGAGTTTCATGGCTGCGTGTCTAGTTAGACTCTGTTTTACATTCCCCTTCACAATGGAAATTATTTGAGAAGGCGGGCAACAGATTTAAGAGGCTCAAAGTTTTAAAGGAAATAACTGAGCCTTCAGGGTGTGTTTAAGGATTCTAAACCTGGGAAAACAAAGTAACTTATTCTGTAGATGCTTCAGTGAAGATTTGAACAGATTTAGATTATATATTGAATACATTTTGATACTGCTGCTTGAAACACTATAACTGTCTCTGGCAAGAGATTGGTATATTCAGGGAAGGAGGTAGTTTAAGCCAGTAGCTGCTTAAACTCCTTGTATTAAGATTGGACAGTGTTTTTTTCAGTGAGATAATCTTTTCAAGCTGTCTCTACTTGTAGGTAGCTTTGGCAGAAAAAAATGCCTGTGCGCTAGCACCCTCCTCAGCATCTCTCATGCAGCCTCACTGTGGTTTGCCTTCCACTTCAAACACCACATTAGACTCTGTTTTTGTCAGGTGCTACAAGCTAAGGTGCTTTGGTTATATTAGAAAACTGGAAGGTAAAGCCAAGTTTAACAAATGTATGGTTTGCTAGCAAACCGTAAGCTAACAAGTCTTCCCTCTAAGTCCATACCAAATCAGAGTGGTCTTAGGAGAACTGTGCTGCAGAAGGTGTTACCTTCCAGATATGAGGCAAAGTCCCTAACACTTAAAAATCACATGGTACATGCCTAAAGCTGTGGCTTGCTGTATCCTGCCTAAGGTTCCTTTGTAGCTTCAACTTTTTTCTTGCTGCAGACTGCTGTATGCATTTTTCATTGCTACGTTTTTACCTCAAAGGTGACCATGTATGAGAGATTCTCTCTATAATAGCATTTGGTAAAATGCCTTGGGTTTTTTTTGGAACACATTAATTTATAAAGGTATGAGATCATTATTGCCTCCTAACCACATCTGTATTATATGTAGATATTCCTGCACAGTGTTGCTTGAAGTTTAATAATTTTGGGTTAGAAGTCCTGATATTGTTTCTTGAGCTTGTCACTCTTAAGGTGAGCTTAGTTTCCATTGCTAACATCAATGTGTACAAAACCAAAGTGCTATAATTTTCAGTTTTCCTTTTCACCTACAATTAAATTTTGTATTTTTCCAGCAACTTACAAGCAAATAGAAGTTAAAACAAAAATAAACCAAATGGTCTTTTCCTAACTTCCTATCTCCATAACACAGCTGTCTATGTGATAAACTGTAAAAGCTGCCAGTAAAGTGAAGGAATACTTCTGCTGACCCTTTTCAATAGTGAAGACAATTGTCTCTGTGGCATTTCTAACTTCCTTCAGGAAGCAGACAACCTTTCCTTCCCTTCCACAAAGAACAGGCCAGTCTGAAAGACAAAAGTCTTCCAATCTGTGAATTAACTGCTTCATTTGGACTGTGATATACTGCAACAACGAAGATGTGTTCAACTGTAGTAGTGAGTTGCTTCTAAAAGGGCTGATAAAGCATGGACATGTGGATACATAGTCAAGTTTGACAGACAGAAATCAGTATCTATATACAATTGAATAACATCTGTTGTGTGTTATTCAGATTGCATCTAGAGTTAAAATGATTAGAGCTAAAGGACCAGGACTACATTGCTTATGAACAGAAAATACTGTCTTTTATGATCTTGGGCTGCAATGGGAGTTCTTCCTGTTGCTTAGGGATCTCTTAGTGCTGCTTCATCTTCTAGCTTACCTCCTATGCCATTGTTGATTTGACTGCAACAGCTGTAGTCTGCAAGATACTGAGGACTACGTACTGTCTTCAGAAACACCTTCTTCCTTATGATATTGGAGAGAGATCCTCGGGGGAGATTTGTCCCTAACGATTTGTCTTGGCGGCTCCGTTTTAACCTGTAGGTCTGGTGTCTGCTGTTTAACATCTCGTAGGTTTTATTCCTGTTCTTGGTTTTGAGAGTTTTCCCTCTGTAGCATTTCATTTTCAGATACTTTCTTATGTCTCACTTTTGATTTATTATCATTTATTGTTTTTTAAATTCAGCATCCGACCTTCCCTCCGTACGCCATGAGGCGGTGCAGGCGTGGCTGGAGACAGTCCCTGGAGGTAGTCTGGTGATGTTCTATCTATACCAATTCACAATAACCCTGCCCGCCCCCTCTCCATGCCTTCAGCCGCTGAGATGGTACCTTAACCCCAGAACTATGGCCCTGTCGCTACTGCATGCCAAGAAAGGGGGTGTGTGCATGCATGCCTTGCTCAAACAGTCCATTCTTGCATGAACTGGACTTTCATCATAACCCTTTCAAAGGCAGGCCAAGCAGGAAAAATGAGGAGAAGGAAGTCAGGTTATAGCTTTTTGGCTTGGGTTATCGAACTGAAGTATAGCTCAATCATCCTTCCTGAGCCTCTTCACTAAGAACTTGGGGCTTGCTTGAAAATGGGAAGAGTAGCTGAGAGATCACCTCAGGCTGGATCTTAAATGAATTACAGCTGCCTGCTGATGAAAACAAGGAAGCAAAACTATCTGCAAGACAAAGCTGGTAACTCTGGGACCAGGCATGGTTCTGGAAATAGTTGTGCTCCACTGGCCTGTAGCTGAAAGAATACAGGTGTCAATTGTTCTTCTTAGATGGTCCTAGAATATCTTAGTAAATATAGAGATTTTAGGTAGCAGGTAGATGCTATAAAAAGGACCTAAAGAAATAGAATAGAACAGAGATAAGTTGCAGAAACTTGGTGTGACCTATAGCTGAGTTACCTTCACATATGGAAGTAATTAGCTCACCGCTAAAACTTTGCTTCATTTGCTGGTTTGGCAAGGCAGCAGTGTTTACAGAATAACTGCATACCAGCCCGGCAAGTCATGGCTGCTGGCCGATATGAACAGAATATTGAACACGTAGTTTCTGACTGCTCTAGTGTGTAGTTCTCAAGTTATTGTGTGGAAGCTTTTGGCCTTTTGCTCCTTATCCTAACCGCATATATGTATATGCACAGTATACGTATAACTATAACCAGCCACCTGCAAGCTCTCTGTCTCTTCCAATGAGCTGCCCATTGCACCAATATGTTACTTGTCTGCACATCTGAAAATGTACGGGGTGGGGGGGCGTTGTTGAAGTATTTTAAAGAATTGATTGTCGTCTGTTCAACCTTTGCTATAGAAAACTATACATCGTGATTTCTGGATGAAAGAAAAACATGCATATAGTCAGTGTCAAATTTTCCTAATTGTGTGGATGACATTTTTACACATTTTGCAATAGTTGCTTGCGTTTAATGTTAATTTTTTGCTAAAGGGATTTGCTTTGGGTAATAGTCTTTCCAAAATGACATTAGCTGGTACACACACACAAGCAACAATCAGGTCAGTAAAAGGAGATGGCAAAGATTTGGTTTAGTTAAATACATTTATAGATATCATAGTGGAAAGCTCCACTTTTACAACTTGACTCAAGGAGTAGGCCTACAAAGTACTTGGAGATAAACAAAGCCAGGTTTTTATAGCATATCATTTTCTCTAGTCTAGGGCATCTGTCTATATGCATCCTTTTGCCTATGCAATAGTTGAAAGCTAACCTGCTATAACTTAGCCTTCTTTGAACAGGTAAGTTGCCATGGGTTATTTCTCATTTACCACCAAAAAAAGAGCCGACAAACAAGCTTTTATTGTAAAATATCTGCTTCTGTAATTCCCTATCCTTGTGTGCCTTGCTTTAGCTTATGTACTTGTGCCCTCGGTCTTTTACACGTGAAACGTGTATGATTCTGGGTATTTACGGAGGTTTATTGTTTAAGGGCACAGATCATGTCACTCCACTAAGGGATGGTAACAACTGGTGGGGTTCTTGCTCCTCTCTCTTCCCCCCTCCTCCCTCCCCGCTTCAAATAAGTTATGTACCTATCCACTGTCATTATTCTATGAATTAAATTTTTTAAGTGGAAGAACATTGAACATTGGCATCTGTTTACATCATAATGCAATATATGCCCAGATTTGTGTGCATATAGTTTACATGCACAGTCACTGTGACTGTGTGCTCATTCACATTAATTAAGCCTGTAACAGCTTAGTTGAATGTCTAATATGTTATATGAGCATGGAGTTGTAAGAACTTCTTACATAAATGAAAAACTGCTCAATAGTCTTTGCACAACAGAAACTTCTCTGGCCCCTGCTTTTTTGTTTAAAAGAAAAGCCTAGGTTGTGTGTGAAGTTGTGAGAATATCTTAAAACAGTGTAATGGGCACCCACAGGAGTAGCTTGGCCAATAGTATTTGAGATGAGACAAAGGTGAGTATTACAGAAGTTGTTTGTTGGCTTTTGTGAAGTGTTAGTTAGATACCACACAGGTAGGTCTTGTTGGTTCCTTCTGGAATGAAATTGTTTTGCATGTACTATTGTCAAAGGCCTTTATTGGTTTTAAGTTCAGGAATGCTCCTTTATACTGATTATTTAAAATAGACCCTGGGCTCTGACACAGAGCAGATTTCATACAGCTTCCATTAACATAAAATATGTGTATATATCTGTGTATTCTGGGTTTTGCTTACATGTACAGCAGCCCATACTATGCTCAGATTGTTTCTTCAAGCAGCAGTCAGGAAATCAGCAGCACACTAGTCAAAGCAGTAGAGAAGGTATACCCAGGGTCCTGTGCCCCCTCCCCCCATGTTCAGTTTATATTCTCTGCTGCAGCACCTGTCTTTTTCTACCTACGCCCTCCACAGTTGATCACTGGAGAGGTGCAGCCTATGGTGGGGAAAAAAGGTTGCTAACCCTAGTCCTCAAGCATGTTGTAGCCGCATGGAGTTAAACAGTTTCCTGTATCTTAATGGTCAACTTTCCTAGGTAGTTACCTTGTCAGATTTCAGATCCCTCAAATGTCTGTTTCCATCTCTAAGTGAGCTGTTGTGATAAAGTTTGAGATTTCAGTTTTGAACTAACACACATCTGCTAACATGTGGTAACTGCAGCTTCTTTGTGATAAAAAATATTTTATTGCAGAAACAACAGCTTATTCTGGTGTGATCATTGCCTCTCATCCTTGCTTAATGACGCACTCAGGTACATCTTGGCTGAAGAAAAGAGGGTGGTGTTTCACCAGACCTGTTCCTCTGAACTGCTGTGACTGCTTTGCAACACCAGTGTTTGTGACTAAACTCGCCTAAAGGCACAAATACCTTGACTACTCCAACTTAAGCCCTGGAGTGTCATTTGATTGTATGATGAAAGTGTGAGTGAGAGCACTCATGTGTGTGCCTGTGTGTGCATATGCCTTTGAGAATACTACTGCTGACCGTTCAGAACACTTTAGTTTGAAAATGATGAATAAACATTCCCATGCTGGCCACTTGTAGCATAACACCAGTGCTTTCCCTTCTAAAGATCTCTCTCTCTCTGTCTCTCTCTCTCTCAACATTTCAATGCATTCTAGCCCCATGTGAAGAGAATGATGTGGAGGATGAAGTGTGCACAGAGCCTGCAGATACAGAAGGAGAAGCAGGAGAAGATGGAGATACCGGTGCAGAATTGGATGATGGTATTGTACTATTATGCATCACTAAACTTTGTTACAAGAACAAAATCATGATGGGCAGCAAACATTTTGCGTGAGGCCAGTTCAGTCAAAGCAGATCTGTGCATAGGAGAACTCACTGCAGATAAGTGAGAGGGAAATACTGTTGAACGGTAAAATGAAACTGAAGATCTTCATCCGATTAGAATGAGTTGCCCACCTTGTTGGAGGGCTCCATCTTGCAGTCCTTGCTGACATTAGTCCAATTGAATGAAAGAAGCAAGAATTCATTAGAGAAAAAGACTTCAAGGTTGGAGAAAAAGACTTTGAAGACTTTAAATCTTTCCCATGCCGTAGAAGATATAGACATTTTCCAGTACAACCCAGAAGAATATGGATCAAACCAAAAAAATTATTTGTCTGACATCCATATCCTTTTGTGATTCCTATTAGCATAATGGAGTGAAACATTTATATGCTCAGGTACTACAGTCATTATCACCCTGTGAGTAAACAGTAGTAAGATGAAGGATGTAGAAAAGGTATGGATCTCCTCATGGGCTTATATTCAGGACCTCTTCCCTTCTATTTCTTTTACTTTTTCCCATCCAAACCAATGATGGTAGATGACATCCCATCTGATGTGGAAGCTGAATATCAAGAAGAGCCAGAGCTCAAAGTCTCTGATGAAGAGAAGGAAAAGGCAGTGGAGGAAGAGGGAGAGGTAGTTAGCCATCACTGTATGACAACAGGTAAGCTGTATTCATTTTATCTTGCACTCCAATTAATTATTTGAATTGTTAAGCTGAAATACTGGGAAAAGCAGCCTCATACACTAAATGTGAACGACCTCATTACTCCCAATGGCTTGGGTACATACTTTCATTTAAATTCTGAGAAAAATGTTACACAGTCATGATAAGCTACAATTTCGTAAAGCGTGCAAGAATCTTCAGAATGAACAGATCCCTGGACATGTGGGGCTAATCACCCTGCATCATTAGTTTCGCTTACAGATTCTCAAGCAAGTTCCAGATGGACCAGTCTAAAATTTTAAGTCTGCCAGCTTGCTGGCAGTTCACTCTGTTCATACAGACTTGCAATGTTAATGGACTCATTTGTTTTTTTATGCATGCTCTCCATTTTCTCTAGATCCATGCAAAGTCTCCCTCCCCATCCAGTCTCCCTGTGAGAATGTTCTTCCTCTGTCTCCAGTTGATAGTCCCAGACCAAAACAAACAGAGGTAAGAAAGGTACTGGTGCTCTTAACTTTGTATATATCAAAGATGAAGAAGAAACTTATACCATATGTAACATGTCCCAGCCCCAGATGTGTCCAGGTGCATCTGAAACGTTATCAGGGAACTCTTGTGCTTTCAGAGTTGCCCTTTGCCCCAAACCTCTCTCTGCTGTCTTCTGCTTAGCAACTGAGAACCAGCTGAGATATGCCAGGAATTAGCCCCTTGGCGTGTGGCACATCAACTTTACCAGTCTCGTCCAGGGCTTTGCCAGCTCTTAGCAGAAGGGATTTTGACCTCTGGAAGGAACTCACCCTTGTCCAGTCTCATGCTCAGGAAAGATGGATCTCTGTAAAGAAGGCCTGTCTATATGGTCAAATGCTCTGGAATCACAGTTAACACTGACACTAAGTGCATAAAAAGATAAAAATTATTTATTATTTAAAAAAAACAAGCATAAGAATCAGTAACCATGTGCTAAGATGCAGAGAGACCTATAAGAATAAACAAACAAAAGAAGATATCAGAACAAACCTGTTCTTACTCTGCATTTAAATCCAAGGATGCAGTCCCTAGCCAGCTTCAACTGGTTAAGAAGCAGCTTCTCCCTCTCCCTCTTTTGTATGGTGTTAGATATCAACTTCCAAATCTATGAGCTTCTCCCTCTGACCTCATTGCTAGGGCCTTCTGCAGTTTCTCCTGCCAGCTTGTTTTACTCAGGCTGATGGACTCCAGGGTTTTTGGGGGGAGGGGGCGGTATTTTTTTATTTTCATGTCTCGGGCCAAATTGGCCAAATCCGTTCCAAATTCCATTGACTGCACCGGAGCTCAGTCTTTGAGGTCCACATGGTGTTACCACTAGCAAGTATCTTATCTCCCAGACTCTTCAGCCTGGGGCTTCAGATACTCCCAAATCCATAGCAGGCATCCTACATGCAAGCCCCAGTTCCAGAAGTCTTGGGGTTCAGGTGCCCGTAAGTCTTGTTTGCCCTTAGCCTAAAGACTAAAGGATCAAGCTAGGGAGAAATCCCCCATCTCCATAAAATAGTGTGTAGCTAAGATCCTCCCACTGGGAAGCTGTAGTACACTCTTGTAGGGGGGTCCCACCTGCAATGCAAAGGACAGGTCTCCACCTTCAACATTACAGGTAGGGAGAAGAGGATTTCCCTTTCCAGGTACAGCAAAACCACCTGGACCAATACAAGTTTCCACCATGGTGGTGATCATGGCATCTCCTCTGCTAGTGTTTCCCAAGGCCCAGGGGACTGAGGACCAAACTATGTTCTGCAGGTAAAATTAGAATTGCTAATCTGGCTATTTGCATACCTCCCCATTGGACTCTTGGGGAGGGCGTGCATACTATGCATATAACTTCCTGCCCACCCACCTCCCTAAAGGTACGTGTTTACCAGACTAAAATGTTTCCTGATCTAATTAAAACCAGTGCATTTTTTCAGACATGGAGTTTATTAATCCAGTACCCCTAAAATAAGATACCTTCTCTCACTTTATTTACTCCACAGTAAAAAATGTTTTCCTTGTTCCTAGGGGTTGTACGTCTTAGGGTTTCTCCTTTTAAAGTATAAAGTTGTTATTGTCTGGGAGGGCCTCTGAGAGTAAACACGCTCCTGTAAAATACTGATTACATTGGCCTCTCCTTAGGTGCTAAAGAAACTCAATGTTTACCACTTAAAAGTTGTTATCAAGTTTTGCAGTCATGGCCCCATTATAACATATGAGAAATGCATTTTATTTCAGATACCACAGTGCATGTAAATGTGAGGATAATAAGGCTAAATGCAGCTTAACATTATCTATATGTATGTAGAGACTACACATGCCGTGTCAGTAAAACAATCTCTAGAAACCATAAAAGACACCATATAGACCCCTTAGGTTTGTGACTCTGTATTTATCCAAAATCCAAGACAGCTTCAAACTTAAAATGAACCCCCAATAATTAGATTCTATACATGGAAAATTATAACAAATGTATATGTATATAAACTATTTATTTGGAGGGGTGTCTTAAATTCACCCCTCCCCCTAGCCGCACAGCTGCAGCATGGAAACTGGGGGTGGAAGGCAGCAAACTGTGTGGGGTCAAGTGGCTTGATTTCTGCCTCTTGTCCCCAGTCTGTCCCCATACCACTTGCCCCTAGTGCCTGTCACATTGCAGTCTTCCTCCACTCCCCCTCACTTGCCTCCTCTGCTTGCACCAGTGCCTGGCCCCCAGCCTCCACTTGCCACCTCTTCCCTGCCTCCCTCCCCCACCCCATCTGTTTACCACATGTGGCAGATTTGCCTCGGGCTCCAGTCCCAGTGCTGATCTGGCAGCAGTAGCAGTGGCAGCCCCAGGTCTGCGTCAGGGCAGCTCCTTTTCTGCTAAGCCAAATCCTCTTTCCCCACCCCGTCTACCTCAGGTCTAGGTCAGGCTCCAAGTCAGAGCCATAGCTGGAGCAGCCACAGCCAGCTCTTTGGTTGTCATGGGCATAGTAGTACTCCAAAAAAGCTGCATCTTGGAGTTGAATAAATATGGTACTCCTCTTCATTTGTTTGTGTAGCTAAAATGAGTTGCATGTTTTACATGCAGTAAAATAGTCCTGTTCAAGCAATGGTCAAGTTACGATGTGCTTCCTCTGCAGCAGTGCCCTATCAGATTCAGAAAGTGTATTAGTGTGCTTCAAATTAATGAAATTCACTCATCCACGTGAAATTTATGACCCCTTGAATCATTAGAGGAGTCCTGACATTGCAGTATAGCGAGCCTTTAGACAGGAACTGCCTCCCATTTCTGAGAAGCAATCCTACCACAGCCAACTCTGGGTATTGTAGTCAAGAAATCTTGAAGAATGTATGTCAGATGTACTTTGGGGAAGAGGTCTACCATTATATGTTTACTTGGAGTGAGGCAAAGGGAAAGCTTCCTGGAATTTACCCCTTTTATTTCCAAAATTAAATTTGCCATATCAACTTGCAGTTTAGACAGCTTGTACACTAGAACATATACCAAACAATAAATCAGCTCTTACATTGCTTTCCAGAGGAAAAGGATGTCAGATTCACTGTTTCATAGTTTGAAGCATCAGTCTTTCCTCTCTCAACTTTCTCTGAAAGCCTGAGGAATGAACTAGAAATCTAATTCTTAGTGACTATTAATGATTACTTCTTTATTTCCATAGGAAATTAAGAATCCCCTCACTGGGCTGACATGCATGGACAAATCTCCAGAAACACGCTTTTTTCCTGAGCCTTTTGTTCTTGAAGAAAAGACAAAAGATGAAATTCCTAAAGATCAGAAGGTTCAAAGCTCTTCTGTGTCACACTCTCCAGTACTCTCCCAGCCAGTTGCATCACCAGAAGCCATCACACCTGCAGGACCAGTGAAATCTCAGCCGCCAACACCCACACTGGCACCCTCTACTCAGCTGCCTATTTGTTCCCAGCCTTTACCCTCTGCTGAAGCATCCATTCCATCCCCAGTCGAACCTCCAGTGTGTTTTCAACCTGTTCCAGCCTTAACATCCACTCCTCTGGTCAAACTTGCTCTAAAAAGCCATGATAGTGAAGTGGAAAAGTTGGGGAGTCCTACTACTGCAGAAGAGGCCCTGAAGCGGAATAACCTTGTAGAAGAGTTCTGGATGAAGAGTGCTGAAATCCGGAGGAGCCTGGGGCTTACTCCAGTGGACAGAAATAAACGGTCAGACCCTAATTTTAATATATCAGCCCTTGAATCACCGCCTCTGAAGTCTTATCACACTAAGAGTGCTTCAGAGCAGGAAGGTATCCATCTTGTTAAACCTGAACCTGTCCCAAGAAGGCTGACTACACCCAAGTTAGAAAGTGAGCAGATATCTATGCTGACTCCAAAATCTCCATCAGACAAAGAACTGAAGAGTTCCAATGAAGTAAAAAGAGATCTTTCCAGCAGCTCTGGACTCGGCCTTCAGGGCAGCTCATCTAACATGAAGACGTTGGCAAGCCAGAGCTTCAACACTTCTGACTCCACCATGCTTACTCCTCCATCAAGCCCTCCCCCACCACCTCCTCAAAATGAAGAACCAGCAACTTTGCGTAGAAAAAGGCACCAGGCAAATTGGCAAAATGAGGTAGAGTCTAAGCCAATTCTAGCAACAGCACCAGCACCCCATGCACCTCCACTTTATGAGCACAACCATTCTGCCAAAGAGTCAACTGAGGCCCCAAAAGGCGAGGTACGAAAGTCATTTGCAGAGAGTGTGGATGAGATTCCATTTGCTGATGATGTAGAGGACACTTATGATGACAGGACAGAGGATACAAGTTTTCATGAGAAATTCTTTACACCCCCTACCAGTAGGCCAAGACCAGAGAAGCCTCTTCATCTGCCATTGGTCAAAGAGAATGGTGGACCACCATCAGGGGATGGGGTAGTGAACCAAAGGAAAAGGGTGCTGCCTCAAGTTTCTCTAGAAGCCAAGGAACTAGCTGAGGAAAGAATGCGAGCCAGAGAGAAGTCTGTGAAGAGTCAGGCATTGCGGGATGCCATGGCTAAACAGTTGTGTAAGATGAAAGATATGGAAATGGCTGCTGTTGCTGGAGCCTCCAAGACACGAAAAGCATCTACTATGCCCATGACAACCAAAGAGCTGGTTTTTGAGTCCCCAAAGCATTTGGCTATGAAAGTAGCAGAGGGCCCCATGCTCAAACATGATGTTGGTAATGAAAGATTCCCCTCAATCTCTGCTGATGTGGGTGTGCATGAAGGGTCAGTCACCTCATCGGAAGGCTCCAGTGGGAAAAGTAAGAAAAGAACTTCTCTCTTTTCCCCTCGTAAGAACAAAAAGGAGAAGAAATCCAAGAACGACAGCAAGCTGTCTGACAAGTCCAGTGGTGGGGCAGAGGAAGCTACCAAGCCCAAATCATTGTGGAAATCTGTTTTCTCTGGATACAAGAAAGATAAAAAGAAAAAGACTGATGACAAATCCTGCCCGAGCACTCCTTCTAGTAGTGCCACAGTGGACTCTGGAAAGCACAAGGGCTTTCCACTAGTTACCGCAGCAGGTATAATACATTTGTTAACCTATGTGTTATACTTTTGTTATAGCAGGAAATTCTTTGCAAAGAAGTTATTCCAGCTTGCTGCTATGCTGTGTTATGCTTGAGTCCATTCTCATTTACCTACTGTGCAAATCAGGTTGACCCTGTACACCTTTGTTAATAGAATAAGTAGCTGGTGTCATTGAAACAGATTGTCTAATAGAAAGTGTGGTAAGTTACCACTTGTTTTTCATTTGGCTGAGTCTACAGGATTAGTCATTTTTGTAACTCAGACTAACTCATTAGAAAGGAAATCTATGCTGTGGTGATTACCACCTTTTATCCTCTTTGAATTCCCATTCCAACTCATGAATTCACTTTCACTGAACCTAGTATGAAGTGCCTTTGGAGATCACCATGAATATTCCTTCATAAACTAGCAAATAAATGGATATTGAAAAACATAACTATTTCTCCTGCCCTCTGCTCTTACTCTGTAGTCTCCCAACTCTATACTAGTCTAAAAATAGGGATTCTGTGTTCATTCATAAATGCAGACCTCTTGTATGCTATGAAGTGCATAGTCGAAGCACTTGAATGACAGTTCAAGACCCTTATGACAAAGGCTAAGCATCTGACTTCTGAACTTGTACCAAAATGGAGCCAACCAAAATAATTTCAAATCTGCTGTCATCCAAATGCTTGGTCCATTTACTGGAGCTGTGACTTTGCTCCAGGGAAGGGAAAAGAAGGTCTTGCTATTTTTAATATAATTCTCAAATTGATTTCCTTGAGAACCTGGTGCTCCCACCCTGCTAATTTTGTCTCATTTTTTGGTTTCAGTTCATAGAGTAATGCTTTTGTAGACATTATGTTCCCTGGTAATGCAGCAGAGAAATATTGATAGCATTAACTTTTTTTGTAAAATTAAGTCAGTCAGGATTACAGCCAAGGTGCCAGGTATCTGTGGAGAGAGAAGAAAATACAATTATAGTTACTAGTCTTCTCATTTTATCATCTCATTCTTATTACTGATTTCTCAGATTTGCAGCTCCGTCGACACTTGAGTTTCTCAGAGGACTCTGACCTTTCCAGTGATGACATTCTAGAACGATCTTCTCAGAAATCCAAGCGAGAGGTAGGCAGACCAGAGGCAGTTTGGATGTGGTCATTCTTTGTCATTTTTGCTATTTCTGCCTCACAGATGGTTTTCATATGAAATGGCTGGCAAAAAATTGAGCAGGATGGCATCCCTGAGACTTACTGTTTCAGAAGGGCTTACGGTTTCATCAGCAACAACCTACTTTGTCAAACTGACCTACTTTGTTGTCTGTGACAGCTTACGCCCCTCTGAACCAATTAGTCTCTAAGGTGCCACCCTGTCCTACCTTTTGCCTGATGTCAGACTAATACAGCTTACCTCCTCTGTGCATACGAAATAGTTGAATCAAACCTGAAATCAGCCAGTCAGATTCAACAATGTTAAGGTTCCACAGTGCCATCCTGTGGCAGATCTGTTGTCTCACTGCCACATTTCCTTACAAAAATGTGTATATTGTCTTGTTCTGAAGGTGGGATCATTTGTTCTTGTAAAGACAATGCTGACAATCTATTGCAACAGAAATGTCATGTCTCAGCAGTGGATTTCAGTGGTTCAAAAGTTACTTAGAAATTTGCTTTTGGAATATTGACATTGTAAGGTGAAGGTCTGGTTTCAGTACATTGTTGTGACAGTAGATCGATATGGTAGAGTTCCAAGCAAACTACAGCCAAGGATGTTGCTCAGCCAGGAATAGCCAAGACATGGTGTCTACGAAAGAGGAAACAACCAATTTGTGGTTCTGAAGGTGGTATGTGTGTGCCTGTTTCCTCTGGGAGAAGGGGGTTGTATGCAGTGTGCTTTAGGATTTTTTGTCTGCAGAGTTTCTTACTCTGCAACTGTTTTTCCTCCCATTTTGTAGCTGCTCCCTGTGAAGAATCTATGGGAATTCAGCATGTTCACATAATCTCTTTAGGCATAATCAATGATTATTTGGTTGAAGCTGTGTTTACCTGTGATCAAAAGACGTGGCAGGAGCCAGGAACCCTGGCATATTTATATTTATTATTTAAATAAATTAGAGGCAGTGGCAGTGTTGAAATAGGGAAAAGTTACAGCAAAAATAAAATTAAAATATAAATATGAGCATCTTTCTCCTACTCTGAGGGATTCTTGGATCTGCACTGGAGTGTGGAGAGTGGGTTCAGTTTTTTGAATCTCAGTATACCGATTCCTAGCTCAGACATGAACTATGGTTTTGGAAATAAACAAGTGATTTTCTTTTTGTTTCTGCTGCTGCTTTGCTGAACCCTAGCTCTTAATGGAGAACTCTCATTAGCAAAAAAGAGCCTTACAGGGGAATGTTGTAGATCTCCACTCAGATGGTCAAAAGTTCCCTCACCTCAGTCACAAATGCAGGCTACAGCAGATGCCTGATTCAGTGGGGGAAAGGACTTGGTTGATTTGGGCAGATTGGTAGTATTGTAAGTGGAAACACACCAGGAGGTGCTTTTCATTGGGACCTGTAGTTGGATTAATGAGCCCTAATAAACAGGGCTAGGGAGAGATTACTGAACTGAAGTAAATGGGACTGTTACCTGGGTTACTCAGATTTCTGAGCTTATCACCCTTCTTAGATGGGAGAGTTTTTATTCTGAGAACTACGCTATTTTTATATTGGATTCCTTTCTTTTCTTTTTCTCTTCCATTCTTTCCTTGCATGCTCACAAACTGTTTCATGAAAAGTTTTGCATTATACCCAAGATGCAGAAGAAGGATGAGGTATTTGGGGAAACGGAGGAACAATATACAATTTGGAGGTTTCAGATAACAGTCATGTTTCTGTTCCATCTTTTGAACTAACTGTGAGGGGAAAAAAGCAAGACTGCAATAAGTACCATTTCTGCTCTCAGAGTTGGGGCACTGTCTCTAATAGTCACATTTTCCTTCTTCCTCTGTACAGAGCTCCGTAATATAACATGTTTTTTGCAGAAGACAGACCCCTGGTTGCTGAGCATTCCAGGGCCTGATGATGCTGGCAGGTGTTCCAGTATCCTGATACCGAACAAAATGGACATAGTCTTTTTTTTTTTTTTTTTTAATTTTCTAAGCCCTTTCACACTAGCAGTAATACAGCCAACGGTATGGTTTTCTTGTCTAGTAATCTCCCATTTGTTGTTGCTGAAGTGACACTTAAGGAACTGTTTTCTCAGTTCCTGCCTGTGCTTTCTAGGAACAGTGATTTGGGAGTGCATGTACTCATTCATAGGGACCATACCACAGAGATGTCAGTCAAAGGCCTGAAAAGAGATCCTATGTCCAGGGATGTGCCTTTATACCACACCTGGGCATGCTGCGCTGCTGAAAGAAATTAATCTGGGGTAGGGCTGGCAAATTGACAGCACTGATGTTAGGGTTTGTGCCTTTTAACTACAAACTGCCTCATCCAGCTTCTTATTATGAGGAAGGAGGTGGCTTTCTTTGTGCTACATAACTTTTATCTGAACTCCTTGTAGACTAAAATCAGCTGATGCTGCTTTTCTTTGGTTGCTGTATTGACCTTGCTTCCCAGAGGGCTTGCCCTGTTTAGTCTGTCCTTAGCAGCATTAGTGATCAGCAGTGAATTAACTTGGCATTGCCTAGTCTGGTGTCTTTTAACAGATGCCTCATTTAAAGAATGGTAATGTAATTCCCCTGTGGGGTGTGTGCTAAAAGGCATATGTCTGGGGTGTGCATGTGTGTGTGCACGTGTCATTGTTAGTGTGCAGTACATGGTGTTGTGATCAGGTGCACTTTTCCTGTTGTGGGCAGTTTGCTTAAATACTAGAGTTTGCATATTTTTCAGATTTTCATTTGTAATTGATTTTAATTAAATGCTAAATGCTGGCACTTTGCCCAGGATGGCATGGTGCCCTCTGCTTCTCATTGCACAATGGAAATTAACCTTGCTTAAAAAAACTAGGCAGTGTATAGTCACTTCACCTCTGTGGTGTTATATCCTTTGGATAGATGAGATAGCAACTGCATTTCTTCCTTTTTGAGTTGAAATTACAAGAGAAAAGAGCCAGTTATTACTGACTCTAAGCATAGCTCCTCATTGAGCCATTGCTTTTGCTTTCTGCAGTGAAACATTCCAAAACACATGAATCAGGATTTAGCCTGTACCAATGTAGTAAGTGTTGCTATCTCTGTCCCTAAAACTCCTTGGACATGTCTTATTAAGGTAGCCAATATTAGCTTCCATTGATTTATGAGATGCATCCTCCTCTCAAAGAGTGTTTCCCTAGCTTGCAAAGTGATGAATAAGATCTTGGTAGTAGAACCCAGAGCTTGTTTTTAATGTACAAAAGGGCAACATTTAAACGATATATGCCCCAGAACTTCTGAGAGAGACAGTAAAACAGAAATGAGGGAAAGTGTGTCACTGAGACAGCAAAAGAGCTGCAGCTTCTGCTGCTCTGAAGCTTGAAGAAATTACATGAGATGTTTACTGTGGAGTTGCCAAATTTGCTCCATAGTAAACTTTTCAGCGTCTATACATACAGCCCTATTAGACCATAGTAAACTAATAAGCACCACCATAGGTTGGTGTTAACACAAGTACTGCCCTGTGGTGGCTTTATTTAGTGCTCTGCAACACACTGATGGGGCTGGCTAGAGCACAAGGGTGCTTCAGTGTGGGGGCCCTCTGCCAGCTAGCCCCAGGCTGACCCTTGGAGCCCCCTGCCAGCTGGGGCTGCTCTGACCTGGCACAGTGTGCTGCAGTCCTGGGTGCACATGTAAATGCAGTGCCTGGCAGCAGTAAACTCCCATGCGTACTGTGCTGGAGTTTATTCAGTTGACTTAGTTGCATGTGTAGACGCACCCACAGAAAGCTGAGTCACATGACAGTCCAGGTAAAGGCAAAACCCAGTTATATGGCACTTGCTTAATAAAGAATAGGGAATTGTTCATTAACACATGAAATGGACTGTCTTCATTGTTACAAAATTGTATTGCGTCTACCTTAGTGGGATCCTGAGCCTTGATTTAAGATTCCTAGGTTCTAATGTAATGCAAATGACCACAACAGTTTAATGAATTGCTCTAATATTAGTAAATGTGAACCTGTGATTCAGAGACATTCATCACTGTTATTTTTGGATAAATTTGCTGAAAGCATTTTTTGTTCCTGGCAAGAAATAAAGGATGAACCAGGCAAACCTAGAGTCTTCCCAAACAAAATATTTTTCTGTTTCTAAGTGAACTTGGTTGTATGTGTGTTTATTTTTTTAAAAGCAGTATATGCTTGACTGAACTGGTTCATATCAAAACAAACTAACCTCAAAGCAAACTCACCTCATTCTGTCATTCCAAACTTTGAACACGCATTTTGTCTGTCTACACATCTCCATATACTTATTGCCGGAGAGTGTTCTGGGGCCACAGAAACCTCTGAGGGGATCTCCAGGCTGAATTGCCTCCCATAAGTGGGAATCACCTTCAGCAGAGCATAAATTGGTTTGTGAGGAGACAACTTCCATTGTGTGTAACTGAGCTGCACCAAGTTCATCATTTGTGCCAATTTTGTTGCATTTAAAAAGAGCTTTGTTTTATTATTTTGCATTTATTTTCAATGTTGAACTGATTTTGCTCCATTTTGTTTGTTTGTTTGTTTTTATTTTTTTCTGTTATCATTCCCCTTTTAAAGTCGATTTATGTACCACACGCCTTGGCATTCAAGAGATCATACTCGACAAAGGTAGTGTCTCCATTCCCATTAGCTGGCCATTGTTGCATGCATGCCCATTTTATTAACCCATTGAATCCATAGCCCCACACCACATTTGCACTAACACCATGACCCTTAACTGTGCATGCATGAAATGTTAGCAAACATTGGCAGCAGAATCTTCCTTGAAATTATCTGTTATCTGGAAAATGAATCCTAGGACCCAAAACTTTGTGCCTTGTTAGAATGCATGCAATAATCAGTGCAATATGAAGTACAAAAAGAGGGTGGTTCATCACGCTGCAAGGTGGCCTGGAGCTTCAGGTGCTTTTAGAACCCTTAGCCTCATAATCTGCTGATTTGCTAGGTAGACCATGTACTGCAATATGCGTTTCAAGAACAGTCTCACCATACAAAAGCAAGTGATTATGTTGGCTTTCAGGATCCTTCAATACTTTTGGATAACCCCTGAAATCTTAATGAAATTCTACCTCGGGCTGAATTCAAAGGACAGAAGTTGCATTCATTTTTCAGGAATATCACTCTTTCATAAACTTCATCACCAGTTTAGTCACAGGTAGAATCTTAGACTCTCATACAGAATCATTTACTGTCAGTCCCTATTAATTTGCCTTTTTAACTTGGATATTCTTTGTGGATTATGAGCAAAAGAATGGAGAGGCAAAATACTAACTTATTTCCCTTGGAGAGCTGGTGGTGGTCCCTATACCATCTCTCTTGGTTTAGAAGTCTGAGAGGTTGCTGCCCGTTGACTTTAAACTCTACTGAAGATACAGGTTGTTGAGAACTATCTTACAGAAATGGACTTTTCAGTTAGGACTTGTAATAGCGTAAATTCACTAAGAATAGATGAGACAGATGATTAGATAAAATAGAGAAAAGAAACTTAGGTTGTCTTTTCCCAACATTTTGACCTTTGGCTTGATGTGTCCTGATGATACAGTCTCAGAATTGTCCTTGATTATGGAGAAGAAAGTGTCTGTTTCCCCTTAATTGTTGAATCTGTGTGTGTATGTGTGTATATATACACACAGTTATGAAACCCGTTTAAGTCCTGTAACCAAGTGTCCATGTAGGCTACAACACAGTCAGCCAAAATCACTGAAAAGGTGGTTGCACCTTTTACACAGACAAGTCATGCTGTTATGGTCAGTCCTGGTTCCTCTTTCAGCCATGCTTACATTCAGGTCTCTTTGGGCTTGCCTATACAGTGGAGTTGCATCTTACACGGGGGTTAGGTTCTAAAGTCAGCACGTAAGGCGAAAATCGCGTATAGTCAAAATTACCCTTGGACTTGCCGAGTGGTACAGTCCGCTCCCTCCCCCATCCAGTGGTACAGTCCCTCCTTCCTGCTCAGGGCAGCCTGCACCAAACTCCCGCCTGGCCAGTGTTCACAGCTTTCCAGCAGGGCTGCTCCCAATGTAGCTGCTTGGCCCTGTGCACAGCGCTGTGGGGGGCAGCTGCAGGCTGAATCCACACAATTGGCACTTTGGGGCATACGCATATGATGAATTTGCGTAAGTTAAATGTGTGTATGATGCGACTCCACTGTACATACAGAAATTGCACCAATTTAACTTCAGCCACTACGAAGTTTACCAGTTAAACTAAAACAGTTTTATCAGATTAACTCCCCCATGTGGACACTGTTATGCCAGAATAAAAGTGCTTACATGGTGATGGGGTGAGGTGGAGGGGTGTCATACCAGCAGAACCAAGTCAATTTAAATTCATATTTAGCTTATATAAGTATAACTTTCCCAAATAGACAAGCCCGTAATCTGTTAGTACAGAGTGATTTAAGAGTGTCCACACAAAGGGATTGTGCAATTTTAACTAAGGATTTGTGCAGATAAACTGTTTACCACAAAGTAGAAAGGAGGAAGGATTTCCCATGCATCAGCTGTTCTGTGGTAATTGTCCATGTGCACACTTTTCACTTAGGGAAAGCTTAGCATCTTCCATTGAGTTTGTTTCAGTGAAAGTGTTGAATGACCACATGTTAGCTGTTGTCTACTGCAGGGTAAGGACATGCCCACCTATCACAGAGCAGGTGATATGTGGTAAAGCTCTGTCCTTTTTGATGTTCAGTAAAGAGTTTATTTGCATATACTCTAAATCTTTTTAGAAATAAACTTAATTAAATGGGTTCAATTTTTCTATGCAGACTGGGTCTTTAGACTTTGCAGTTGGCCCACACACTTCTTCACTCCTTGTTGGCCTGGAAAGTGTCACTTGCTTCACTGCAAACACCTGTGTACCTAGAACAACTTGACTGTTTGAGAAAGGGCTGCTAGTGAAGGATCAGCTCTTCTGCAAGGTTAAAGGAGAGGAGGGACCTTCCTTTTCACCAATACTTACCTGCATGCAAGTGAAATCTTCTTTTGTTTTTTCCATCTGCAGAGAACTTATACAGAGGAGGAACTGAATGCCAAGCTCACCAGGCGAGTGCAGAAAGCTGCCCGGCGACAAGCCAAGCAGGAGGAGCTAAAGAGGTTACACAGAGCTCAGGTAGTACCTGAAAATGCTTTTGTCCTGGAAAAACATGCTCTGTGCTTTCCAGGCAAGCCACATTATACAGTCACTCAGCAGAGGTGTGCAAGAGGAAACTATATATGTATTTATGTATTAGATTTACATGCTGTCTCCTCCTAGAAGCTCAGGGCAGCTTACTCTCCTCTATACTAACATAATTTTACTGCTTCCACTCACTCCATCATGTTGGGTGCCCTATCTCAAACATTAAAAGTTTCTCAAAGCTATTGTGATGAAGCAGAGGAAGAAAAATGGCAATTTGTGAATATCACGTCGTATAGGCTCTTTCTATAGTTGGACATCCTACCACTGCATAAAAACACCATTAATTGAGTGTTACAGCAAATGACTGAATAATATTTGATTCTGCTATGATAGTGATAATTGTATTAGCCAGATAAGTTGTAGTGAGATTTTGATGCCTTAGCTGTTACCAAATTGATTTATTATTTGAGCACCCTTGCCATTTGTGTTCTCATCCTAAGCAAACTGCACCACCTCTTACATTGGGGAGTTGGAATATTGCTGGTTTGCCCTAGTTTTATGAAGGAAACACATCTCTCCTAAGCGGAAGTGACCATGACCTGCCTCTAAACCATCATATGTCAAGTTGAACATTCTTTTTGGAGTTTCTGGGTGAAAGGGGAGGAAGCAGTCATTTGGGGCCAAGTGACTGACTGTGACAGTATGAAAATACTTACTGATGAAAGTGCTCCCCTCCTACTCTCTAACAGATCATCCAAAGACAGCTGGAGCAGGTAGAAGAGAAGCAGAGACAGCTGGAGGAGAGAGGGGTTGCAGTGGAAAAGGCCCTTAGGGGAGAAGCAGGTACCTTACAGTATTTGGTTTGTTTTTAATGTTTGTTAATTAAATGCTCATGCAAGAGCTGATAAGTTATGCAAAATTTCATAATAATTTAGTTTTTAGAGACAAGGGGTGCACTTTGAAAGTGCAAGTACAGTATTTTATCCTGGAATCAGATCTTGAATCTGTTCTTTTTTTCCCATTGGAACTTTGAGACCCAGTTTTTCCTGATGGTCTTCTAACTCTGGCATTTTACTGCCTATCAGAAGTCTCTGATGCATTTGCCTTGGGTTGGAACTCAGGAAATGCTTGTCTATTCATTGTTGGAGCCAAATATGTTGGTCTGAATATTAGTTGCTTCCTAGAGCAATTGCACAGAGGTTTTCTAGTGGGGACTTGCATAAAACTGCTACAGTAAGAAGAGCACCATTTGTAGGTGAGGGAGGAGAAATAACTGTGAAACTGCGTGCGTGTTTTCTGTAGCATGTTGTATTATCCAAGTTAGCGTCCTTTCAAGGGACCATCACAGAACAGCTTCAGCAGGTACTTTCTCCTCAATGTACAGCCCAGCATACTGATAACCTCACCGCGTTATATATAGCAGAAATCCACACACGTACCAAAAGGTGTCACCATGTCATGTTGTTAAGGGAATGTAGTATATGTATATGTGGCTAAATGAAATTACCATTACCTGATGCCAGCCCAGGGTGGAAGGTTATATGAGAACATGCGTTTTGAAGGATACATTTCTACCTTTATTTCCCTATGAAACACCAATTCAGCAATACTAATCCCATGTTAAAATGAAAAGGTCCAATAAGAAATACCCAACAGGCAAATGCAAGTGAATGTGTCTGGCAGGCCTGGATGTGATCACTACACCACACAGGGGCTAGAAGTCAGAAATGTTAATAGTTGGAGAGCTGTTTGAAAGTTGGCACAGCTTGGTGCCTGTGCACTGTGGTGAAAGTGCAGCCACCATTTCTGTAAGGACTGCACTTGTTTGCATGCTGAAGAGTCACTGAAAGAAAGATCTGTCATAGTCTTCACTAGTTACTACTCAGCCATCTCACTTCATGTTTCTACCTCAGTCTGACATTCTGAAAGTGCCTGTAGAAACAGTTTAATTAATAGTGGCTAATTAAAACAAAGATCTTCACTTGAGTCATGTGGTCAGCATAGGAGTACTTGCTTGACCACTTCACTGGATTTTACGTTCCAACTGACTGCTTAATGTGGGCGTTCAAAACTGTTTGATTTAATAACACATCTGCAATGGCACTCCTATCTCTATACTAATTTTGCATTTATGTATGGCCCTACTGTCTTTCCTGAATTACCAGTTATTGCAGTTTATTAATACAACTCTCTTTTCTAGTTATTCTTTTTTTTTTCTCTTTCATCCTGAATTCTTTCTTTTTTATCCTCCTGCTGCTGACATTCAGATAGAAAGTGCCACTGCAATCTAGAAGAAGCATCATAGAAGTCCAGGAGTAATTGAGAGTGGTTTTGGATATCTGATAAAGGGAAAGGGAACTTAAATTTAGGGCCTTGCATAACTTCTTATAGAACTTCACAAAAACCTGAAGCCAACTCTGGCTTACCTTGAATGCTTGTGACCATTTCTTAAAGGAGGATTATGGGACTACACATTACTCCATGTGCTATTGAGAGAGACTCTTGCTTCAGCCAGCCTCTAAGAGGTGTTCTGGGCTTGTAAAACACCTTATTTCCACCAAATGGTTGTTCTAGTTAAGTTTTATCTTATCAAAAAGGATTCAGCAGTTTGGACTCATCCAAATTTTGCAGAGAATGAACAGGAAATGCATCTATTCCAGAAAAAGTCTTAAACCAATGTTGGATGAAACACAGGTCAAAACATAACCTCTCTCCCCCACTTCCCAAGCTTGCCTCTGTGTGTGCGTGTGTGTACGTGTACGTACACACACACACACACACACACACACACACACACACACACACACACACACACACACACACACACACACACACACACACACAGAGAGACA